GAGAAAAGGCGGAGCGAGGCTCTTAAAGGGCTCGCGTCCCTCCCCCAGGCGCCGGCAGAGTTTAGGGCCAGGCTCAGGTGCCCGGTGCGCAGTGTTCGCCGGGCAGGCAGGGTCTGCGCTTCCGAGTTGCGCCCCAGCCCGGGGCGCAGCGAGGACGAAGGCGAGGAGCGGTGCCCCTACCTCTGGTCTGTGTCCTGTACACCTGTGGCGGGAATATGTATTCGTGGTACTGAGGACCGAACCCAGACCTGCGCCCTGAGCTGCACCTGCAGCCTTCTTATTTTTTGTGTTGAGACAAGGTCTCACCAAGTCACTGAGTGGTCCATACTGAGCTCAAATTTGAGATCCTCCTGCCTCAGCCTCCCAGAGTGCTGGGATTACAGGTGTACGCCACCACTTCAGGTTACTTAACTGAAAACATTTATGAGGAATTATGCTTTAGGTCAGGTTTAAATGGTAGGAAATTTGAAATTTGAAATAAGTTTAATTTTAAACTTTCTATTAAGCACACTTCATTCTCCCTCGTCCTTCCTCCTTCCCTTTCTTTCCTCCTTTTCCTCTTATTTACCTTCTCTTTACCATCTTTCTCCCTCTTTTAAAAAATATTTATTGAGCATTTATTATATACCCAGCATTAAGCTACAGCGCTAGACCCTAGAGACAAAAAATGAAGAGACAAGAGTTAAGCGCTTAGGTTTGGTAGGGGAAAAGAAAGAGTACTGTTTCATGCGTGTTACAATAGAATTACCTACTTTAAGGCCATTAGACGTGTCTTGTTTTGTTTTGTTTTGAAATAAGATCTGGTTGTGTTGCCCAGGCTGGCCTCAAATTCCTGGGCTTAAGTGATTCTCCTGCCTCAGCCTCCTCAGCTGTTGGGGCTATTGTAACACCAGGCCAATCCTTGGGCTTGCTAAGTACTTGTTCTGCCACAGAGCTACAACTCCACCCCTAGGGCATGGACTTTGATTAAGATTCGCCCCCAAACTGCGCTTGAGATCTTGTGCGCCCTGGCCCCACCCGTAGCCCTCGTCCTGAGATGGGGTTTACGAGAGGTTAGCGGTCTAGGAGCCTGTCAATTCAAGAAAAGATCCAAGTATCCTTACACTTATCTTGCTGTAAAAGACAGAGACTTTGCAATTTGACTTCTATTTTTACTTTCACAATGTTCCAATTTGATTTTTAAAAGATAACCCATTTTTTACCTTCAGGTTTTTTAAATTAAGACAAAATCAGATGTTTGCCGGCTGACGGCAAGGGTATTGCTAATCTTTGTATCTGTGTCAATATGCTTGTAGATTTTGAACAGTTAACTTTGGAAGTGCTTTTGCTTTTTTTGGTTAACCCCATTACAAAAACGACTGTTACAGTTTTAATGATTATCTGTTTCTCCCTGTAATTAAAAGAATGAAAAGTGAAAGTAAAAGAAACAAAAAATATGTGGACTCTTGCACCAGTGTGTTTATTAAAACTTCACTTTCACTGCTCCCAGTCACTGCCTTCCTCCGGCCTCTGCTGGCTTTGCCAAGTTTGGTCTCGTGAGCACAATTTAAATTTATAAGAGCTTACGTCACAGTGTCCTCAATGCCAAATTTGTCACATAAAAAATTTTAGAGGAATTCCTTAGCATTCTCAAGAAAACACACACATGAGCAGCACAATCCATTGCGGAGATGGAGCAGAAGGGCGGGAAGGTGACCAGGGCAAGAGCGACTCCCTCCAATGTGGGGGCCTCGCCTTGCAGCTGTTCATTCCTGAGGTTTATAGACACCTGACTACTTAACAGGTTGTTCTACTCACAGTGAAACTTCCCGAGGCAACCAACCTGATTCCTAGTCTGTGACTGGAACAGAAACATTACAATATAAAACACTGTTACTTTGCCAGGTGTGGTGGCACACGCCAGCACTCAGGAGGCCGAGGCAGGACAATCTCCATGAGTTCAAAACCAGCCTGGGCTACATAGTTCAAGGCCAGCCTGAACTGCACAGCGAGACCCTGCCTCATAAACCGATACCCTGAAGCCTTCCTTTTGCGTTTGACTAGATGGGCACCGCCCCCTGCCCCGCCCCCTGGCCCATCCCAGTTCTCTGCATAGCACTGCGCCTGCCCAGCGAGGCCAATCCGGCTGCCCCACAGGACCCCTGCGACTCGATGCCCACGCGGCCTACTCGGATGTGTCAGTGAAGACTGCAGGATCGAAAGCTGAGTTTCAGAGTCCCTCTCCTCTTGAAACAACACAGCAAAATAAATTGCTTTTCTCAACTTTGCCACCAGTACTTCTTTTTAGCAGGCCCAAAGCTTGGAATCGCTTTCCCTTCAGTTGTCCCCTGTTCTCCCCCACCCGCTTCTTAAACCTTCATCTAATCAGGAAGCAATCAATGTTCTAAAGCATCTGTTCTTTTTTATCCCACACTTTGCACTAACTTCCTCCATACCTGAGAGTGGTGACCCCTTCACGCCTCCTCTTACCTCCATCGATCCGTTTCTGCTCAAGGCTTCCAGCCTGGGCACTCGCTCGTTTTATATTTATTTAGTTATTTGGTTTCTTTGAGATAGGGCCCACTCTGTAGTCTAGATCAGGTGGCCAACTTGGGATCCTCCTGCCTCAGCCTCCTGAGCTCATTATGCCAGGCCTCAGAGCAGAGGCTCTTAAAACCATTTATTTTTAGGACTTTATAGCTGAGACACTTTTGAAGATTCCCAGAAGGAAGCACCTTCTGGAACAGAGTAAGTTCTTTTAAAAATAGCAAATACAAAAACAAAACAAAACAAAACAAAAAAAGTAAATACACCCGGGCGTGGTGGCCCACACCTGTGATCCCAGCACTCGGGAGGCTGAGGCAGGAGGATCGCTGTGAGTTCGAGACCATTCTGGGCTACACAATGAGTTCCAGGCCAGTCTCCACTACATAGTGAGACCCTGTCTCAAAAAACCAAATAAATAAATAAATAAAAATAAAAATAGCAAATACACTTTTTAAGTTTGCACTTGTAAAATTTTTATTAGTGCATGTTTGTAATACATACTGATTGCATTCCTCATGGGTAAAAGTATTTTTAATTCCATGGAAAAGCCAAAGGAAAGCCCACCTTGGGATAGGTTCACAGAAGGACCCGTGGAGGGGTCAGGTGGGAATCCACAGCAATGGGACCGCCCTAATGGGGCGGGGCCTGGCGGGCGGGGCGGGGCCTGGTCGGAATGGGGTTGAGGCCA